CCTCCTCATCCCCTCCTCCTCTCTCTCTCCTCCTCCTCCCTCCTCCTCCTCTCCTCCTCCTCTCCTCCTCCTCCTCCTCCTCTCTCCTTCCGTCATCCTCCTCCTCTCCTCCTCCTCCTCCTCCTCCTCCTCTCCTCCCCTCCTCCTCCTCCTCTCCCTCCTCCTCCTCCTCCTCCTCCTCCTCTCCTCCTCCTCCCTCCTCCCCTCTCCTCACCCCCCCCCGCTGCTCTTGCCGCGCGCCCCGGGGCCTCGGCGGCCGCCGCCCCCGCAGCCACGCCCCCAGCGCCAGCGGGAGCGCCGCCAGCGCCCCGGCCGCCAGCGCGAGCCGCCCCGGGGGGCCGTCGGCGCGACCGGGCGCCCTCCACCTGGGGGGCGCGGCCTGCTTTATGCACCGCGAGGGTGCTGCAGGGTGGGGCCGAGGCGCCCAACCAATGCAATGAACAGCGAAACAAATTCAGCATATGGTGAGACTACAACGGACAATAACAAGATGCGTGACGAAGGGAGCGGCCGAAACTACAACGGACAACCTGGGGGGCGCGGCCGATAGGGAGAAAACGACGCGCAGATCGGGACAACATCGGATCGGGATCACTCGAAATCTCGGAGAAGCGGCGGGTGTGGAGGTTGTACTGGGCGCCGCGGCCGCTCCAGAGCGTTCCGGAACGCTCCGAGAGCGCTCCGGAACGCTCTGGAGCGATTTATCCCGATCCTAGCCCTGTTTTAAGGGACGCCGGCCGCCCTTAAGAGTCCTGGGCGCCGCAGGCGTTTCGCGCCCTGGCCGCTGCTGCGCTCTCGCCTTCGGGGCCCCCCGGGGCCCCCAGAGGTGGTCCGGCTTGCGAGAGGGCGCGCCGGAAGATGGGGCCCGGAGGCCCCGGCCGTCGGATATCAGGAACGCATTTTTTCGCAACGTCGGATATCGGACGATGTTGCATTTTTTTCGCAACGTCGGGTATCAGGGTCTCACGCATCCGGTTGCGCGTTCGAACGGGGCGCCCCGCAGCGGAGGGGGCTGGGGAGGAGGAGGGGGAAGGCGAGGGGGTGGGGCGGTCCGCGCGGACCTCCTCAAGCAGGTGCTGCCCCCCTTCCGGTTCCTCCTCCTCCTCCTCTCCTCCTCACTCTCCTCCTCCGCCCCTCCTCCGTTCCTCCGTTCCTCCGTTCCTCCTCCTCCTCCTCCTCCTCCTCCTCCTCCGCCTCCTCCTCCTCCTCCTCCTCCTCCCCCGCCCCCCTTCCGTTCCTCCTCCTCCTCTCCTCCTCCTCCTCCTCCTCCTCCTCCCTCCCCCTCCCCCTCCTCCTCCTCTCCTCCTCCTCCTCCTCCTCCTCCTCCTCCTCCTCCTCCTCCTCCTCCTCTCTCCTGTCTCCTCCTCCTCCTCCTCCTCCTCCACCACCTCCTCCTCCGCCCCTCCGCCCCTCCTCCTTATATACAACACTCCTCCCTGTCGCGCTCCCAGATGTGTCGGCAAGGCGGACCAGGCATTCCTCCTGAGACTTCCTCGCCTCTGATGGCCCTGAAGCTGGATAGTTCGCAGCAGCTTCAAGAATGGAGGGCGGGTTGTTCTCAACATGTGGCTCTCGCCTTAGCTCCGCGCGCATTCATTTTAAACGCTTGCAGCTTCAAGGATGGAGCGCGCTTCGTTGTCAACGTGCGGCTCTCGCCTTATCGCCACGAACAGTCGTCCCAAAAGTTCGCAGCATGTTCAATAATGGATGGCTGTTCATTTACAAACTGTGGTTCTCGCCTAAGCGCCGGTCACATTCGTCCGCAGCTGCAAGGATTTCTGGTGAATCGCTTTCAATATGTGGATATCGCCTGAGCGCCGCGCAAATTCGTTCTACAAGCGTGCAACAGTTTTAAGGATGTATGGCGGATCGTGTTCAAAATGTGGCTCTCGCCCTAGCGCCGTGCAAATTCGTTTGTTTCAAGTTTGCAACCGTTTCAAAGATGGAGTACGCTTCGTTTGCAACATGTGACCCTCGCCTTTGCGCCACGCACATTCGTTGTAAAATGTCGCAACCACGGCATGGGTTCGCAAGGTTGCTGTTTCGAGACTGGTGTTCTGTCGCGGGCTAGGATTGGCAGGACGCAGCAGTCACGTTGATTCGCTGGGTGATGTCCCAAAAGGCGGTCTGACACGATTTAGGAATGCCATGGCGAAACACTCATGTTGATTCGCTGCGTTGAACTCCAAGGAATGGCGTTCAGGCACGACTTCGGATTCTCAGACGGTTTTCTTTGAACGAGGCACTGTCCGCTACGGAAAGCTCGTGCAGGGGGCCTGCGAAAAAAGATACTTGGAGACAGGGTTCACTGCAACATCGTGGATGCGTTCTTGGGTCTGCACTGGTCCTCCTCCTCCTCCTCCTCCTCCTCCTCCTCCTCCTCCTCCTCCTCCTCCTCCCCCTGCTCCTCCTCCTCCTCCTCCTCCTCCTCCTCCTCCTGAGTTCTGCCCCGCGGCCCCGCCGGAAGCGCCCGGACTCGGCGCAGTTCTCGCACGGGAGCCTGCTGGGCGGGGCGTCGGCTCTCGGCAGGAGGCCCCCATGAGAGAGGCGGGCCAACGGAGCCCCTGCATCTCCTCGTCCTGCTCCTCCTCCTCCTCCTCCTCTCCTCCTCCTCCTCCTCCCCTCCTCTCCTCCCCCTCGTCCCCCTCTTCCTCCTCCTCCTCCTCCTCCTCCTCCTCCTCCTCCTCCTCCTCTCCTCGTCCTCCATCTGCCTCCTCCTCCTCCTCCTCCTCCTCCTCCTCCTCATCATCATCATCATCATCATCATCATCATCATCACTCTCCTCACTCTCCTCCTCTCCTCCTCCTCCTCCTCCTCCTCCTCCTCCCCTCTCCTCTCCTCTCCTCCTCCTCCTCCTCCTCTTCCTCTTCCTCCTTTTCTTTGCGCTGCCTGAACTTAGCGTTCTTCTTCCTCCTCCTCCTCCCTCCTCCTCCTCCTCCTCCTCCTCCTCCTCCGCCTCCTCCTCCTCGTCTTTCTCCTCCTCCGCCTTCTCCTCCTCCTTTTTTGGCGCTGCTCGACCTTAGTGACCTAGCACGCAACACTATGTTTCCTCCTCCTTCTCCTCCTTCTTCTCCTCCTCCATGTTTTGACGCTGTTCGGACTTAGTGAACTAGCACGCAGCATTCGTATTATTGTTACTCCTCTCCTCCTCCTCCTCCTCCTCCTCCCCTCCTCCTCCGCCCCCCCATCCTCCTCCACCTCCTCCTCCTCCTGGTGCTCTGCTATTGGCGCTGAAACGTCCCTGGGCTGTGCTGGGAGATTGGGACATTCCACCGCAAGCCTTGCACGCCTCAGGCCTCCTCCATCGCGTACATGGGCCTGTCGTGGTCCCGCCGGTTGCGTTCACGTGCAGTCGAGGCGAATGGTCGATGCTGGATTTGTGTCATCCGTGAATGGGCAATTCCGTTTGTTTCTGGTCGTCGCGCCCCGGCGGCCGCGCCTGGGGTTGTGGTTGGCGCCAGGTGTCGCGGGAGCCAACTCGTCCCTGGACGTCTCAATGCCCCCGGCCGCCCCCCACGAGGTCCCCGTCCAAAAGAACTCCCGCATGATGGGGCCCCAGACATCCCTCTCCAAGGCCGAGAGGGCCGTCCAGCAGGCCCCTGCCACAGACAGGTGTGAAACACATGTCAAGCAGATGTTCGGTGAACGCATGGGCCCGCAGAGCGAGAGCGGCGTCGAGGCCCAGGCCGCGGCGCCCCCCGTCGGACGAGGGCATGCCGAGCCCGGGCATGAGTCTTCTGATGAGGAGGGCCCTTGGGGCCATAGATGAGTCTAACTTCAGCTCGGCTGTGCAGCATTCTGTTCGGCCCGAGAGCAAAAGCAGCAGCGTCTCCTGGGCCTCCTGAGCCCATGCCTTCCAGCCTGGCCGATCCTGCAAATAGTGATAGTTTTTACCTTCTGCTCCCCCCCCCGCGGTAGCGCCCCCGTCCCTCGTGCTGAGCAGACTCAGCGGGAAGGCGCTTCGACCCGATGTTTTCGTGTCCGATGCCTGCTGGTAACAATCGCGCCATGCGAAGTCGTTTACCACGCGTCGGTACAATTACATGCCCACCCCCCTCTTCCGCGCTCATGGCCGTTCTTGCAGTTCCCAGTCGGAGCGGCGGCTGCTGTTTCGTGATCGAGGAAGTGAGGCAGTTCACCAGGGCACGCGCAGCCCCGTTGAAGGATCAGGTGGCGTGCTGGTGGAAGTGGGTGGCGACGTTACTACAGCATGCGGTTCGCCACGGGCAGCGCGTCAACGGCGCGAAGGGGCTGGGGGCGATCCATCAAGCGCATCAGACGCTGGCGCACTCCAGACCCAGTGGGGTGAACAAGGTCCTCCGGCCAGCGAAGGACGCGCGCCCCCGGAAGTGGGCTTCGGTGACACTGGATTGCCAGAGCCTGGTCGCCACAAAGCTGGAGTCTTTCTGCGACCAGATGCCGAGGATCACAAGTAGGGCTCCGAGTCGTGCGATCAATGAGTCGTTAGCAGAATTCACGAATTGGGTATCGGAGCAGGATGCCGTGGGTGTACTCCATCGCAGCATGAGGGGTGGACCCCCTACCGCCGCCAGAGGTTTTGCAGGACTCAGGCGCAGCGGTCCACCCCAGAGGCATCATGGACCAAAAGAGTAGGCAGTGGCAGAAGGTCTGAGGTCTGAGCTCCGCACAACCGTCGCACGGAGCAGCTGGAGCAGGCCTTCGAGGCGGCACGCACAGCAGCGAAGGACGAGCCGCTGGACCCCATCGTTGTTGATGATATTCGCACGGCCGCCCGCCGCATCAAGCCCAACGGGCCTGGGCGCGGACCGCTTGACTCTCGTCGGCGTGGAGACGCTCCCGCAGTCAGCTCTGCAAGAGCTCGTGGAGCTCGTGGAGCTGCTCCACGGCGTCGAGGAGACCTCGGCCTGGCCGTTCCAGCCCCAGCCGGTCCTCGGGAAGCTGCTCCCGCAGAAGCTGGGCGGGGTCGGATCCTCTGTTTGGTTTAATTTTAGGTCGGGCCTGTCCCCCTACAAGGGGATTTCGTGCGAAACATTAAAATACTCCTAAAAAATACCCCCCAAATTCAAACCAAAAAAAAAACATCGTCCCTCGATTATTGTTTGACTATTTCCGCAAATTCCTCCTGAGTCTAATTCTGAAGCAGGCCGTGGCCCCGCAGCCGCGGGGACCACACCCGCGACTGGCGCGGCCTGGTCGAGACGGAGTGGGGCGCGGCGGCGGCTGCAGCCGCGCCACTGCACGAGGCTCTCTGCACCGCGCACTCCGCGACGAGGCGGCTGGCGCGCTGGGCGCGCCGTGCGCCCGCCGACGCACGGGTACCCAGGGCTGCTATGACAACGTCGCAGGGGATCTGTGGGTTGACAAGGCAGTGGCCATTGGTTGTCCCTCTCTGTGTGTATTATTTGGACCTGGCCCAGTGCATGGCACCCAGAGTTTGGGAGCAGATGGGGGCTGCCAGCGATCCCTTCCCCGTCACCTGCAGCGCCCAGTCAAGGGCCCAGGGGAGGGGCGCGGTTTGCCAAAGGTATGGTGCATCTTGTGATGGCCCCCACTGTACGCAAACATGCGGGTGTCTCTCATCGAGTCTGGGTGGGTCACCTTTCACAAACGGTTGCAGGGTCCAGGCGACTGATTGTTGAGCAACGCTCCTCATGTGTAGCGGGCACGGCACATGACATTTGAGCCATATGAATCTGTCTATTGCTTCTGATTGTGAATTTGCTTGTTCCAATCATCCGGACGCCTGGAAGATTGTCAGGAGAATTCGCGGGAGCGGATCGGTTGTCCAGGCTGCGTTGCAATCTAGCTCCCTTGGCACTGATCACGGCAGAGGGCGCAGGCATGCCAGAGCCACGCGTACCAAGACGGGGCTGAAGCATGCTCAGCTTCATGAAAAGGTGGTGAGATTTGCCAGGGCGTCCAAACGCTACAAAGTCACATCGCGCCTTGAAAGATCGGGAGCGCAGGCGGCAGGTAGCGCGTGTATTATTACCTTGCTGGAGATTGGAGAGGAGATGCGGGACCCAGGTATCACTTTGCCGCGGGAGGTCCTGTCAGCGCGGTTGCAGCAATGGCTTCGCAATCCCCAGAACGTCCCTCGGTCCAAAGACCTGGGCCCATTATGTTGCGGAAGTCGGCAGCTATGGAGCCAAGTCGAAGGTCTCGACGGGCTCGTGGTCCCAGGTCAGCCACCATCACCACGCTGCGTGAACGAGGTAGGAGACCAACCACACCCACGTCACGTCTGGACAGTCTTCAGACAAGACATCCGGGGAGGTCCCCGAAGGAGGGTACCACGAGCGCATGGCACTCAATGGCCAGGCTTTTTTTCGCCGAGTTCCACAAATCGTCTGGCCGTGGCGACTGGCAGCAGGCAGCGACGCACTTCTGCGGTGCTGGTCGGGAGTTCGGCGCGAACAATTTCTCGTTGAGGTGGCTGCTGCGCTACTTGACCCGAGTGCCGGGAGGCAGGGGATGCTTGCAGAGGCACTGGTCACTGTTGCTGAAGGCGGTGCCTGGCGTCGCGAGCGACGGGCGACTGCGTGCACCGAGCTCCAGCTCAGCAGTAGCTGTCCCGGGTGCAGGGAGGCGATCCGAAACTCCTGCGCGTCGCGGCTGGTCGTGCAGCGAGAACGTTGGATCGCAGGCTTTCGTCACGTGCGGCGAGCTGGCGCCTCAGGCGCTGGCCCCGTCCGAGGCCGACTCCGCCCACTGGCTCCGAGGACTTCTTCCCAAGGCATGGACGACAGCTATCCCTCCCCCCTGCCAGGATGAGCAGTGGAGCGCCTGGGACCCTCTGCAGAGGACCGAGCTTGGGGCTCTTCAGGGGTCTTTGGGCCCAGGCCAGTCCCCACTCTCCCGTGGTGTTGTTCGGCGGTGCTAATGGCGGGGCCGACTCACGGGAGAAGAGGCTGCGTCGCTTGGGCTGCGGGCTTGTAGATGTCTGACCAGTTCGGGGTTTGAGCACCCAGTCTGTCCTCATGAGACCTGTGCCAAGCGACCCTCAGTCCGTGACGCGAACGGAACTGTATATGTTGTTGATGGCCGCCCGTGTGATCACTGACTTTGCTGCGCAGTCACGGGCAATGACGTGGTGTGCCGTGGCTGGTATAGCCAGATGTTCAGGGTCCCCCAAAAAGAACTTGCCGACCTTTGGGCCAACTGGGCCTGGCCCCGGCCCAAAAGAATCCGTGTACGCGCTTTCCGTGAATTCTTCTCTCTCAGCGGGCATGCTCGCTGAGGCTGGAGTCCCAGGGCGGTTGGTCCGAGGCAATGCGATGGCAGATGCTGTTCGCAAGGGAGGCCGCAGAAAGAGAGAGAGCCCGCGTTTCGAGCGCCGTGCGTACGCGTGTCGGGCAGATTGGGGAACAGGTGTCTACCAGATTCGAATTGATCCCTACCCCTAAGATCGGCAAGCCAACAGCGACGACAATCTTGCGTAGGGACGTGCCCCCCTGAAACTGCGGAAGTCCTCAAGAAGATCGGCACCGAAGTACGGTGATGCCAAGCACAGGGGT